GTATCTTGAGTAGATTTGACGTGACGACTGGACTGTTTTTGACAAAATTGTATCTTGAGTAGATCCACCATAAAAGGGACAACATCGTGAGACAACGAAATTATTTAAGTCTTACTTTTCCAGTCAGATTCAGCGCTCCGCTCAAGAAAAATCAATTTTTTTTTCTCATTTTAGGTGGATCGCCCACAGCATCCGGGAGATTACGAGACCGAATAGAGCGATTAAGGAGGTAGGAAATTGAGCACCTCATGTACGGGATGCTTAAAAATTTGAAGCTCTAGATAGGTGACACTGACTCATTGAGAATAGGGGATCGACGTCTCCATCTGAACAACTACACACCCACCCCTCCCCTAACCCACTAACCCAACAACAGTCAACTGATAGCATGCTAAGGTTAATGCTGGGCTAGAAGAGGGGTTAATCGCTCGATAATGACACTGATCTAGCAGAGGCTATGTATGAGAACAAGAAGGAAAGAAAAAAGAGAAAGCCAGAGTGGGTCTTTTTGTGGAGTTCATATATTTTGCGAGCATGGCGCGTATACATAATGGGGGTGTATCCGAGAAAGAGCGAGGCGACTGTCATCGAACAAATTCATTCCATTTTTTTTTTTTTTTTTTTTTTACAGTGAATGTTTACGCGGCATTGGCGAAGACCTGCTGATAAGAGCGTATAATATTATTGACACCCAGCAGGAAGACTATGTCGAGGTAAGGTTTCCTTCCTGTCATTTTAAGTTGTTTATTGTTTGTGTCGTGAATCTTACGTGTTTCAACTGGTGTCATGTAACCCGTCGATGGCAATATTCAAAATAAGCTTAAATGAACTTTGGAACCTTTGCATGTATTGAATCGTTTTTTGTTTTACTCTTTATCCTCTTTGTTGATTCATTCGTTTGTTCTTTGGTTTGTTTCTTCCATCTTTGATACCATCAATCGCTCGCTTGTGCGGCCCACTAACAGTTTTACGTATCTGTTCGAGTCAGTTCTTAGCGTGTGTGTACTTTCGTTTTTCCTTTTCAGGAAGCCCTGGTTCGTCTTATGGGAAGAGAAAATTTTGAGAGATATGGTGGTCCAATTTGGCAGCTAAAGTTCATCGAGGATTTTAAAATACACTAAGCTTTACTTCTAGGTCCTTAAAGAACATTTAATACCTGTAGATCTTTTGATTATTGCTGCTTTGTAAACCCATAAGGCCTATACCTAAATTTCTGCCGACCGAGGGCTGCCGACCAAGGACTATGAATATCGATGCTCTTTCAACGGAGCGCTCACTTGGACCAGGTACCAGGCTACTTCGTCAACAGTCAATACTAAAAGTCATGTACATACCGAAATTAATTGGTTACGATTGAGTATGAATTTAGAGAAAGGAGAAATAAATATATTATTTCACAGATCTCTCAGTCATGATATCGCTTGTGTTTTTCAAGTGGCTTTCATGTCGTAATTCTCCAGAAGTGTGAAGTGGATAGGTCACTTCCGGAAAATTTCATCCATGCTTCACGAGGCCATCACTTGACCTGAAAAACACCTGATTATAGACGATCGCAACTTGGCCAAACGTAAATACAAGCTATTTACAATTACTTGGAAGCGTTTGATAGAAACTTAGACATGTTGTCCCCGATGCAATGAACGGTCGCTTAGATTTTATGATCACTCTCAGATCGAAAAGAAGGGATGAGTTCTCAGTGGAATCAAGAGGTGTCGGTAGCTCTAGGAGGCTTTTCGATTGTCGCAAACTTAGTGAGTGCACGACGGCCAAGTGGAACTTCTCATTATTACGCAAGAAGCAATGCTGGATTCAATCAAATTAAACTGTTTATTTATCATCATGGTTTAGCAAATAAATAAAGATCAGTAGAGAAAAGAGCTAATTGAAAATAATTTTTCTCAGTTTCTTAGAGGATCGCAGTTATTTTGTTTTTTGTCTTTTAATTTTTTTTGGTGGATCTGGGGAAATAAGTTTATCATTTAACCATACTGCCGAGAAGGATTTCGTATGTTCCTACAACTTTCATCACGCTTGAATAAGTACCCTCTATGTTTGGAGTGCAGTCGGACAACTGTAACTGAAGCTGGTATCGTCATTTAAACAAATAATGGCCAAGCTCAAAAGCGGATATAGACAGTCACAAGTGTTCTTCACGGGCATGAAAGCTTATTGCTTATTGTCATTAGAGATCAACGTCATAGCCGCAATTATGAATAACTCAACTCCTTTGTGTAGAGAAGGGAAAATATAAAATTGTTTGGTCTAACACGGAGGTTGGCCGACTATAACAGTGCGGTGACTTCAATCGAAGGGTTTCGGCCTCAGTTGGCTCTACTGTAATGGGGGAATACTTCACAAGTTATGATGAAAAATTCGACATTCGAATCGGACGAGAAATTTATAATGAAGAGTGTTTAACGGCAGAAGCACACGGTTATTCAAACTTTAGGGAACTTACGAAAGGAAAGAGTCCTTTCTCAAAAATTTATCAAAACATTGCATCATGTTATTGTTCTTGGAATGGTTTCCTTTCGTGTCTTGCCCGTGTTGCTCCGATTCTCCGCTGGTTACCAAAATACAGCTTAAAGAAGGACTTATTAGCTGACATTTCTGGAGGTGTTACAGTCGGCATCATGCATGTACCTCAAGGTAATATTATAGATAACAAAATAAGCAATAGGTCAATAATATAAGAATCATTCTTATTTACTGCGAAAGGTTTGCCGGAGAAGGAAGCCTACCCAAGTGCTTTTGTCGAAGCTATTTGGGGAATCTCGTACTTAATTAAAGCAAAAAAAAAAATCAACGTTAACGGTTTTAAAAAAGAACCTGTCGAATTCCTCATGTACTTCAGGGGATTGCTTGGAGACGGAAAGGTCGAAACACACGGATTAATATAACTCGAATCTATTTTCGAGCGACTCGAATCTTGATCTTGTTTTGCTTTGCACTTCACATCATCAAAAAATTTTCGGTACTAACATTAATTGAATTGCGTCCCAAAACTAAACCATTCCGGTTGGCACTCAAGTTACCCCACGTGAGCTCTCACAGGCTAGAGAAGTTAAAGTCATTGATTACCACATTCAAGTTCCATAATTATAAATTGTCGCCAAAATTTCCCTATTTTCAATTTTAATTTTACTTAACATTTGGATAAAACTCTGATTCGCTGTCAAATTTTTTGTCGCCACTAAATTTGTGTAACAGGATGATACGTTGTCAAGCAATCGATAACATTGTGCCAGGTGTTTTTTTTTTTTTTTTTTTTTCTTTTAACCGCCGTAAGAGGATATAGCAATGAATTTTTTAGTTGTCGTCCGTAAGTATTTTTTCCCCAATTTTTGAGGTAAAAATATTGACCGGAGTGTCAACCAAGTATTTACCTCACCATCAACGGCTGGTTATATAATATTGCAGACTAGAATACCTGGGTCTTTACAGCCGGGTACACTTGTCTCGATATTGTCGAGTCATTTTACTGCTGAGATGCAAATCGCTAAGCCACAGATTACCGATTTCATGATGGCTAATCATGATTCACGTCCGATTTGCATTTGAAACCGACTGCGATCGCACACCGCTTCACTTTCCTACAATGCAGAATATAAAATAACTGAGACACTACAAGAGCCCTGATTAGTAAAAAACCTATCGTTTATTATGTTAAAAGCAAAAGACCGCTCTTTCTAGGAATGTTAGGAACTCTCGAGAAAAGTTTCATACAAACGCTTCTGGTATTTTCACAATATCCCGTGTGGGTTATTACGCCGTTGAAAACCGAAAGGAAGTGTTTTATTGCTTAATTATCTTTCCATAGTTAGTAGAGGCTGACCCCTCTACTAACTATGATCTTTCTAAGTAATTTTAAAAGTAATCTACCTGGATAGTACTATATTACCTCTTTGGGTTTCGTTTTTCATTCGGTAATCTCAGCTCAAATCATATGCAAAGTTCGAGTTCTTTCATTTTGTTGACGTCTAAAAAGAAATATGTCTCGTCACATAAAATAACATTCCTAAGTTTTTTTCTAATTTTTCATTCATGTATTTTGCGTATAAAAATGTACTAAAAAGAAAAAGAAAATTACAACAAACCGCATTTCCTTTAATATTGAGCTATTACCAGCGAAATTTGAATGATGACGTTTTCTTGCCGGTCTGAAAAGTTGGAGCATTCTGTGATATTTGCCGAGTCACTAAATGGCGGAAATGCGAAAGTAATAATCTGTCATAGATAACAGAGGCCAGTTAATCAAAATGAAACGGTTGGGCCGTATAAACCTGTAATCTTATTGTTCGTTGTATTGGCCCCCTGAATAAAACTCGATAATATGCATCCTTGAGGTAGTTTTTCATTAACCTGTAAGACATTCATTGTTGCATCCAGACTGGAAATAGCGTCTCTAAATATTAAAGAACCTTTTGATCGCAAAAATTTTTGTTTCTTATTCAACTGCAAGGGTTCGTGCATAGGTGACAAAAATGAACCAATTCCTTACAATGTGTTACCACTGGCAGTTCCGATATTATACTGCATTCTTCTAGAGACAAAAAATATCTATGACAGAAATTATTTCCTAAACCGCCAGCCAAGTTCTTCAGTACGACGAACGATTGAGGCAAGCTAGCTAATTTGGATAAATATAGGTCCCTGCCTGTGCGAACACTTTTTTTCTTTTCTTTTTCGTAGTAGACTAATGGTCACCCATTGCATTCGATCGTGCAATTACCGACAGCAATTAAAGAAGCCGAACCGGCCGGAAACACTTTAATGAGACAAGTGCATATCTGTTTACTATAAGCAATCCCTCCTTTTCGGCGAAGTCCGTCGCGCGAGTCAAAAAAAAAAAAAAAAAAAAAAAAAA